AGTTTAAGTTCTGCTAACAGTAATCAGATGGGGCAGAGACCTAGTCATTAAAAAAAAAAAAGATGACACCAAGCCTGTTTTCTCTACCTACAATCAATACTAGAATTGGAACAATGACCAGTGTGGCAGACAAAATATTTCACCCGTTTCTTCTCACCAAACTTCTTCCCAGAAGGAAAATACAAGCTTCTTTGTGGACTGCTGTGTTAGCAGATGTGCATCACCCTGCAAGGACCACATTACTTTATGCACGTTGGCCAGAGCTAAGGGGTTTTACAGAAAGTACTTGAATGGCTCTGCACGGACCCCCTGATATCAGCTGCACCATTTAGTTCAGTAGCAGCTCCACAGCATCCATATAAAGCAATGTAAGTATATATAATATATAAGTATACTTGCAGTAGCCCAAGTTTCCAAAGCAGAGCTAGACAACAGGTGGCAAGGCAAGACCCTATTAACAGAGCAGCCAGTCTTAACGGGGCACAAAACAGCTACACTCACTATCTGGAATGAGGAGGATTTCCTTTGCCATTGGACCAAGCCAAAAGAAAGAAAAGACACAAGATTTACCCTAGTCAGTCAATGTGACCAACCTATAGGGATGCATCACTTCCAAGTAGTTAATGTGTTATCGCTAAGCCAGAAGAGGGATAAGAAGCAGGCACTCTCCCACAAAAAATTACACAGGAAGAGGTACAGTCATGCCAGTAAGGTTTCCTGGATAAAGCAGAAGAATGGTCAAACCACAGCCTTCGGAAGCTGACCATAACAGTCAGGCATCCTCCTAACTCTATTTTCAAAGATGTAGATAGATTTTCCCCCCACCAACCCACCCACCCACCTCCCTACTGCCTGATACTGCACAAATATACTACTCTCAGTCCAAGACCAAAGACAACCTTGGACCCAGGACACTTTCGGACAGAAGTAAAGGAAGTTTAAGGACACAGAACTGCAGCCTGTTTCCTCACAGACAAAAGCTTTAAATATTTGCAAGGGTTTTTGTACTTCTAAGACTCCAGTTACAGTAAGAATGAGCCAAAGCTGTTTTGTTTCCAAAACAGCTTTGTTATTAGAAAAGCAGTAAAACAATCCAAAATAATCCATGGCTATTTCTCAGCATTGAAAACCATTGTGGGGCACGTTACCAACCAATAAAAACTATGAAACAGAACACACGATCAGGAAAATAAGCCTGTGGCTTCAAGTTTACTTTTTTTCTGATTTTAGATGTGTTCTCCCTTCTGAGGATGAGTTATTTTTCAATTCTTCCCACCCTTTAATTCATTACTGTTCACCACATGCCCCCAAACTGGGGGAAAAGAGGTGGGTAACAAATACACAAACGCAAAAACACAAGTCCAAAGGCCTCTCCCCATCACTGTATCCAGAAGTGTCCAGAGGGACCAGAATGACAGAGGTGAAGATATTACCACCTCTGGAACACAAGTAGCACCAATTAACACATTTTCACAATAGAAAGATTTTCTTACCAGTGCTTTCTCAAATTACTCTTTCTGAACAATACCATTCAAATGGTAATTTAGTGAAGAGAACATGTAAAACTACCCCAGTGTTTCCAACCAGAAAGGGAAAAGAATTCCCATTATACTGATGCCTTTTTTACTCCGGGTTTTTTTTTTTTGTTTTATTAGGCCTAGAGCATTAGCCTTATTTTTTCACTTCATGATATTCATGGGTTTGCCCCTACTACCATTTCAAGTTTAGCCATACATAGGCAATAATAAGTGTCACGATACAGTTTACCTTTTTATATTGCTTTTAGGTCAAAATTGGTTGACAGACACTCCTCTGGGCAACAGCCTCTTTATTTGCTACCTGCCACACTATAAAGTGACATGGCTGCTGGTAAGCAGGCTTCTAGCTGTGAAACATGTGCTCATGTCACCACACGTTCTAGTTCCCAGATTAAAATCATCCATAATAGCTCTCCTTAAAAGACCAAGTAAGGAAAGCAGAATTTCAGAGAACAAGATAGGATGAATGTGCAGGAGTCAGGCATTCAACTACCCCAGGAAAAAGACTTTCCGGAAGAGGTGCAACACCAGGTGGCCGAGTACGGAGGAAACATATACCCAGGGCTGAAGAACCACCCCAATTAAACACAGATACTTATTTGTGGAGAATGGAAGCGTGGTACGGTAACAAAGCGCTGTTCTTAGCCCTTCACACTTATTGTATTGCCACAGGAGGTACCAGATCCATACCAACCCAGTCTGCTGAGCTGAACTCTCCCAGTACCACATTACATGCTGGTACTGAATAAAGAAAGGCAAACATGTAGCTCATTTGCTTACAGACTTTCACTTTTTTTTTTCCCCCGTATATACTGTAACTGATTATTTCTTCCCTGTCTCCCCAAATACCTTAGGGCTTCAATTTACATCAATAATGCCTTGAAACAATTCCTTTCCTTTAATTATTGCAGTAAGCAATGATAAAAAGCTGAACAGAGTCAACTTTGCTCCAACACAGGCATAAGATACACGAACATTGTACAGGGAACATTATCCAAGGAAAGTAGAAGTCTTAGTTAAAAAAAACCCCAAATGCAGTTAGCATGAGTGATTTCACTCAATACTGTCAAAGGATCATTCATATTCAGGAATAACTTCTTCCATCATACCTGTCTACCAAGATATTAGGATTTAAAAAAAAAAATGGTCACGGGAGTATTATGCACAGATTTACTCCTTGCCGCTGCAGTCGGGAAGTCCTGACATTTACAATTGCTTGGGAGTAAAGCTGTCTGTATTTGCAATCTGCAATGAGAAAGCACATCCTGCCTGTTTAAATTATTCTCAGACAGGTTGCCCAAAAAGATGATTCTAAAGATGCCCAAATGTGTACCAGCCTAAGGCCGTTTTGTACTTGCTTTCGGTTTCAAAGATCTCCTTTCATCTCTGAAGAATGGAATGTTGTTTACTGCTCAGGATGTTTCGCCATGTTATCATGAATGTATTACAAGTGTTCTGCTTCTTGAACTAGAGAGTGTTTGTCAAAACCTTTATTTATTCTACATGAGAACTCTTAAGCCTTTTATAAATCCTGCTCAGACATATTGGGACACTTAAACGTCTAAGTCTAAACATCCTTCTCAAGTTTGCTAACCTGCATAGACTCACAAAAAAGGGCCACAGAGAATTGCTTTCTGGGAGCATGAGGCCTAGGTACTAGCACTGGAAAGCAAGACTATGCGAGAAGCAAGAGTAGTTTCACAGGCAGAATTGTTTCCACCTACTGCCTTTACAACCCAGTCTCGACAGGTAGCCTGTATGAGAAGCATCTAAACATACAGCAGGTGAACCTGTGACCATGAAACGCTGCCAAGAGCTACGGTCAGTTTTAGGCATATTATATCCATGTTCCTTTAAAATGGCAATATAAATAATGGATCACCACCTCACAACAGCAACACTGTTATCTGTCTCACTTTGGCACAATCTCACAAAGCTTTTAATAAAGTAGACATTGCAGACAATGAGAAATAACTGAAAAGCACTTAACAGGCAGACTTTTTTTAAATATTCAGAAACAAATCAGGCAATAATTACAGAAAACCACTACGAAGAACAGGAATAGTTACTCGATAGAAGCTTGGGGGAAGAGGAGAAAAGGATGGAGAAAACTGTTCTTGTGCTAGACTAGACTCATTTTCTTCAAGTTTTTCCGGTGGTATAAAAAAAGAAAAACCACACATAAAACTATACTTTCAGCTTCGTGTGAAAGTGCAATAAAAAACTTCAAAGTAGTGAAGAGTAGCTGCTCAAAAGCTGGGAATGCCACTTTCCGCAGCTGTTTAGATATGGATTCATGCCTTCATTTCACTTGTAGTAAACAGGGAGCATTCAAGGAGCTAATTGTGTCTCCATGTCAGCACCAAATCAGAATCGAGGCTACCTCATCTGCTTAGAGAGGTCTCTTGCCACAATCTAGGCAGAGGGACAACCTACAGGACAGTCTCAGTTACGCTGCGAATAGCTGAGCTTTATACAAGGTCCTCCTGGACTCCAGCAGGCAAAACACACTGGAGTATTTTCAATCCAATCATCTATTTAAGCTTCCTAGACCACAAGAATAAAAAGAAGATTTAAGGCTTGTCAGAAAGGACAACTTCTCCACCACTTCCTCCATGCAAGAGTTACTTCCCAGGCTTCTGCTCACCGTGCTTGGCTCAGCAGCCAACGCGCCGTTCACTTGAGCAGCATGGAGGCTTCACAAGAAAGAGGGGCCAAGCTGACCACAACACTTGAATGACAGCCTGCAGAGTGTTCTCTCTGGCTCCAGCCAAGATGATGATCTCAAACAGAAGCCGGCTGTCAGTCTCCTCAGAAAAAACTCCTGCAACCCCATAAGCTTTCCAGGTTCCAGAAACAGTTAATCTCCAGCACAAAGTTAAGAGATTTGTTCGGACTAAGATTTGTTAAAAGCACCTTCAAGGCACTTTTAAAATGCAGCATGAGCCAGAAAGGTCACAGGGCTCATTGCAGGAACTGAATGGTCTACCTTTATTTATTTATTTGCTGCTCTGGTGGGGGTCTAGCCAAGGCAAACTCACAATACATTTGAAGAGAGTCCCTATGCATTTTGCATGGGAAAAAGGTCCACAGCCAAATGTCAAAGCAAGAGCCACTTCAGAAGCCATCCAAAACAGCCATTGTGGCTTGAACTGAGGTGCCATGACAACTAGGTCCTGTGGGAGACCACCACAGCTTTGTTACCCTCCCCTGCAGATGGAAGTTTCTCCAAGCCATCATTTCATTCAGCCCTTCACACACAGTGCTCTTATCCACAGTTCTTCCTATAGCACACAGTTAAACATGTCCACGTAACTCAGCAGAAACAATCCTTTCATAACACAGACTAGTTTTCTTACAGTATGTAACTAGCCACTTCATATAAGAGTATTCTCCATTCTTCCTACAGGGAAGGATAAAAATAATTCAGTATGAATATACAACAACAAGCTATCTCCATACCTCCAGCCCAGATCCAATGTTTGATGAATCCAGTGGTCTTTTCTTCCTTGGTCCAATGGCTGCCAAAGCTGTGAGGTTGGCTTCTCTCTGTTGCATTTGGGCTAACTCCAATTGTTGCATCTAATTTAAAAAGAAAACACCAGCATTAATTATGATATACAGCATTGTGAATATCTTCGTTCTCTTCACAGGAGCTTCAGAGAGCTCTGCAGTCCCTATTGAAACAATGTATTTCACAGCATTCTGGACAATTTTGACAGATTCTAACACTCAGTCATACTTAGGGTCTTGAAAAGCTACCGACCCTGTAGATAGCACCATCTAAGTAACACTTTTTATGGAGACCGCACTGTGGTATCAACACAGCCTTAACAGGAGTCTTGTTGCTGGCTCCTCAGCTCATAAGCTTTCCCATTTCTGCTTAAGAGAAAACATTGATCAGAACTGGTTTAGGAGGCTGGATTAGTATTAAAAGTTGAAGTTGCAGAGTTCTGTGAACTGGGCACATTCTTAATTCAAAGATCTCAATTCATGACTGTACAAGCAAGATTTTTTCATGCTGTATTACCTGAACCCAGCACTCAATGTTGTCATTCTGACACATTTTATTATCCAACTGAACAGGATCCTGTCAGTTCACTGATGCTCTTTCATTTCCCAGTATATATTTGAATCTTCAGGCATATCTGAAGCAAGTTAGAGATACACCACACATTTTCACTCACATCCAAAAACCATTCCACACGAAGACATTCTTAGAAACAACCTCTACCTGGGCTAGGTAAACTTGGGATAGGAAAGAAACCCATAGTCAAAAGGATTTTTAAAAAAAAAAGTTTTCTCTCTACATTTTGAGGTACACACTACTTCATTCTGTTCAGTAACTGTAGATGTCAGCTGCTCTGGAGCTCAACCCAGCCAAGTCTGCTCATAGACTCACTAGCTCGGACTGGCCACCTCACTAACGCCAACCACACTGCTTTCAGGTCCGCCAGCTCTCCAACTGGGAGCATGGGTGGAGGGCAATGCTCATGCTCTCTGTAGAGAGGGAAGCTTTCCTATTTAGTCAGGTTGAGTTTGTCCTTAAACACAACCCCTGGTTTTGATGTTAACCCTTAAATGATCTGACGTGCAACTACACCATGCTCCTTAAGCCATGCTCTCCCCACTCCCAGGACTTAGAAAAGTTCTTAGATGGGAACTCTGCATGAGTATGTGTGTGTATCTTTCTAGAAAGTACAGCCATATCATGGTAGCAAAGCATCCAATTGTCCTCCCTTCCTCCCACCCCCTACAATCATTTAAAAAAAAAAAAAATTGGAATTCCTCATTCAGTCAGTACAGATATTTTGCTTACTGAGCTTGCAATACACTGTTTTTGCGTGCTTTTCAGCTCCCAGTCAGCTCTTCTCCACTTGGGAGAATCAGTTGGGAAGAACTGAGCTGAGCTTGTACCAACTACATGGCATTATTTTACTAGCAGCAAGCTGAGGAGTAAAGAAGAAACCACAATAAAGTAATATTGTGAGGTTGGGGGCTGTTTTGGGGAGGAGGGCTGTTTGGTTGAGTCATTTTTTTGGGTAGGATTTTATTCAAGTCTCATTTTTCTTCAGATGAGTAGACTTGTCCTTACTTTAGCGATGATGCTGGCAGCTTCATATCAAGTACTGCAGGAGCTAGGCTGGTTCAAGAAAAATGGTATTTCAGTGCAAGATTCCTAAAAGGAGATCCTGTCCTGCAAGTCTCAGACTATATACACATGCTCAACAATTTTCAGCAGAAATCGGGGAACTCAAGATTTTGACATATGTATGCCGAAAGTAGTTGTGCTGGGTTTGGTTTTTTTGTTGTGGTTTTGTGGGGTTTGGGTGGGGTTTTTTTTGGAAGGTGAGACAAACGCTTCAGTTATGAAAACATCTTGGGTTGGCATCACAGCACAGGGTGGAGGGGACTGAGGGGTACAAGTGCCTCTTGGTGGAGCACCAGGATGCTGCTCTGGCTGTGGGGTGGGGAGCACCTGGGCAGCACCACTCACTCACCCCACACGATTCCAGCTGACAAGGCACACTGTCCACACAGACACCCTGCAGCAGCGAGCTCTGCTGTTGGAGGGCAGGGCAGGCAGAGAGCCCACAACGGACAGGACGACAGTACAAAGAACATGTGCTTTCTAGACAGAACTGAAGCGTCTTTGATCAGGCAATTCCCAAGACAATGCTGGAAATGCATGTCACTACCACCAGCTACTCTTCTCAATACCTTTTCCACCTCTCAACCAGTCAAAGGATTTTTTCAAATCACGTAGAAACTCACCAGGGTTTCGGAGCAAAAGAAAAAAAGAAATCATAGCCTTGTTGCATTCTAGACATCTTGGGGATTTTTCTGAGAACATAATTAAGACAAATGAATTTAAACACTCAATCTCCATAATGGACTCAACAGATCCCCATTAAGCGATATGGGCAGACATCCAAATTACTCTGCTGAAGCCAGCAAAATCATCTTTTCATCAAGTTTTGTTCCATTAAAAAATGTGAGATTAAATGTCCAAACATTGTGTGAGCAGCTAAAAGCACAGGATAAGGAGAAGACAGGCAGATAACATCAAGGGATACCCGAGGATACTGGCTGGCTAACTACTGCCAGATTTTCCTAAACAAGATGAGGAAAGAGGCAACTATGTTGAGTCAAATCTTCAACAGTTTTGCAGCACACAAGTTAGGGCAGAAAGATCACTGCAGCAAGGGAAAGTAGTATACGCACTTTATTAAAACATTACATAGAGAAGCCGCACTTGGTACTCTTT